ATGCTAACATGCACATACTGTTAGTAAAGTGGGAGAGATGATTCTGCTAATGCATGGACAGGACAGTATGTATAACAAAGAGAGTGATTAACTCATCTTAAATTGCCTGGAATTTTCCTGTTCTTAGGAGAGACATTCCTGTGTCACAGAAATGTAACTCTGTCCTTGCAATGGCAAATAGAAACACTGAAACAATACCCAGGATTTGGAGGGAGATTAATTTTATGTCAATAGGCACTCACAGAAAATCAACTGTCCTTCAGAATGTCAGATCTTGAAGGTCCTTGGAAGGAGGTTTTTATGGTGTGAAAAGAGGAGATACAGAGATAGAGTGTTCGGCTGTCTTTGATTGTTATAATATGCATCACAGTGACCAGCCATTTCTAGGCAATAGCAATAACAGGAACTGTAACAGGAAATAGTACCTGGGCAACTAACAGACAGGATCGGGAGCATTTTCTGCTACATCCTCAGAAAACCAGAGCAAGAAAGCAGCCTAGTCAGAAGGTAAAAAAAGGGAAGACACAGCATCTTCCAGAAACCACCCAAAATTATAATGGCACAGACTTCCGTAAGGGCCACAGACTTGGAGTTTCAGGACCTGGCAATAGGACCGTGGCTATTTTTGTGGCCATGAGAAATGTGCATCCCTCCCAGTATTCAGTCCCATCACTTAGTACACCAATGACCTTACAAGTGCTATGGAGATCCAGATGAGGCCATTTACCTAGTGTCACTAATGTAGTACCAAACAGCATCACCTCCTGGAGAAGCAATTTGGAAGCAAAAGACAAAGGGAAATAATCCATTACCTCATTTTCTTATCCCTTGAGTCATTAATTCCAAGACAATTGCCAAGGTAATTAAAAAGCTATCTGCAGAAACAGATGCATGCGGTACCATTTATCATGGTGACAAGTTGGAAGCAAACACCAATGAAACGGACAGATGATGAATTATAGAATGATGCATACACTACCAGAAATCACACGCTGTAGTCATGAAAATAATCAAATTGAGGCTTGCACCAATTTCAATGGATATAGAAAAATAGGAGACAAGTCTATCTGAACTAGGATATAAATGTAAAAATGTGTTTCTGCAGAGAATGGTTAGGTTAATTCTGTTGTCTGATTAATAAGATTCGTATGTGAATTCTTCCTTGTTTTTTCAGATGATGTACATTGTGATACTATTTTTCATCCAAAAATGCAATTAAAAAGTGAGGAAACTTAAGAAGCAGTATTCATGGTCCTTCTAGAATTAATTTTACTCCATTAAATTCCCTCTGACACCTTGCTAATGGCCTTCCCTGGATAGTAAGTATTTTGCTGCCCAGAAAGCACCTGCACTTCAGGGGATGCCAGCCCTAAGGGAGTGGAGCCAATACTTCTGATATCTACAATGTCTCTCCCACTTCCAGCCTTCATTCCACAAAATGTCTTTTAGGGCTTTAATGAGTCATCTCTGTGCACTGACCATAGCCTATAATCGAATAAACTAGACTACAATCAAATAAACAAATTCTGGCTGATTTGTGTAGAAAAAGAATGTACCAGAAGAGTCCTGAGCAGCACTAGACATTTTTTTAAAAATCTATGTATCTAAGGGGAAAAAAAGACAGTGAATCAATGATGCTGTGACCAAAGGCACTGGGGAAAGGACAATGGCCATTTCTGTGGCTGTGAGAAATGTGCTTTTCTCTCAGGACTTTGGTTTCCCCACTTGGCCAACATCACACTAAGAAACCGAAGAGGGAGCTCTGCTACAGATGTAGTCACCACGGGTGCCACCTTCTGGACTGCACTGCTACTTCCAAAACCATCTCTGACTTTTTCTCTGCTACACCTCACTAGGCTCAAGGTCCTGGCTAGGAGCATCCACTTCAGCAAGTCTTGGTGGCACACCTGCCTAACTGCTAGGGAGTAGCATCTGCTTGAGAGGGAAGCTCAGCTTGCTTATTCCCAGGCCCACACAGAGATGGAACAAGGAGTCCTTCCCAAAATGAAATGTTTGAATGATGATAAAACACTTGACCAAAGCCAGGTGTTCCTAGTGACTTCATATTCCCTCTACACCTTCTTCTTTCTTACGCCCTATATGCCTGGCATGAAACCTTTCAGCATTATTCAGTGGCCTCCAAGATTTACAGAATTGACAGCAATGTAGTAAACATAGTCAAAACAGGGCTGGATCTGAATTTTAAATGGTTATTGCTCCTGTAATTCTCCTACCTTAAAGACAGTACAGCCCACAGCTACAAAAGCCACCCCATCCAGGGATGCCACATGCTGGATATCTTAGCCCATTTGGGCTCCTGTAATAACATACCATACACTGGATAGCTATGATTACTATTATTAATTCTGAATTCAATTGGCTTGAGATATATCTAAGAAATCAGAAAAGTGAGCTGGGGATATAGCACAGCATCACAACACCCGCCTGGAAAGCATGAGGTCATGCGTTGGATTCCTGGTACCCAAAAAGTAAAAAAGAAAGAAAGAAATCAGGAAGGTATATTTCTGTGTGTAGTTTGGAGGTCATAAGAGACTCAATATTGTCCTTGGTCCCTTCCTTTCTGGTTCTTTGCCTCTCTTTCTGCTTCCCAAAGCCATGGATGGGGTGAGAAAATTTCCTCTGCTGTGCCTCTCTATCATGATGTTTCCATGTTGGCTCCAGCCCACCATGGACTGAAGTCTCAAAACTGTTAGCCAAACTGAATCCTTCATCTTTTAAATTGTATGTGTAAGGTATTGTGTTCCAGTGACAGAACATAGATGAATACAAAAGAATCGTACCAGAATTGGGGTTATTGCTATCACTATACTTAACCATTTGGTTCAGAGCTTCCAGAATTTATTTGCATAAGGATTTTGGAAAATGGGGCTAGAAAAATCCTAAGGCTATATCCTGACCCTCATAAGCAATTCTGGTGCAAGTTCAGAAGCCTAAAATTCCAATACAACTGAGGACACTAAATTTGTGCTCATGAGGTCTCAGATAGGAAGGAGGAAATCTATTGGCAATTGGGCTACAGCCCACACATGTTACATTCTGGTAAGAATTTTTTCCTACATTTTTTCCATTCACAAAAATCTTGTCTGAGGCTAAGGCCTTTAAAGGCAACTGACTAACTGATCTAATATAGGAAATTTCAAGGTAGAAAAACATTGTTTCTTCAAGAAGGACGGATGGTTGCTTTTAGATCAATTTACAAAGAGAATCAGAAGTAAAAAGTGAAGCAGAAATATTTGAAAGACATTCAGTCTGGCCAAAAAAAGAAATGCATAGAAATCTGGAGACAAATTAGGTATGTTGCTAAGGGCATTAGTGACATTAAAGAGAGATAAGGTACTTTTCATGGTACAAGAAAAAGGTCACTTGAGGACATCTAGGAATCAGCACAAACCCTCCCATTTCAGGCTCGAGGGTAAACTCTATTGAAAGCCTTCAGAATAAGAGAACTACTGTGTGGCCTCTGCCCAAAGGGCTGCCTGGGAAATTATTTCCCCAGGATTCATTCCACAGTGCTCAGTGTTCCAAACACTCAAAAACCACCTCTGTGGTCCAAGAGACCCAACTGTGCTCAATTTGTGGCAGACCTTGACATCATCTGTTTTTTTCAGACACAAAAAATTGTGAGTCATGGAGGCTTCCAACCAGATTTCAAAGGAAGGCTTAGGAGACCAAGCAATATGTGATCTGAGTTCTTGCTGCGAGCCCACAATACAATGTTGCATGAAGCTATGAGAATAAACAAATTAGAGACCCTGAATAATCATGTAAGACAAAATGTATGATATTTTCTAAAATATCATACGTATTTTCTAATATTTTAGAAAATATCATACGTATTAAATCATAAATATTAAAGCTGAACAAGCCATTTAGGTGCTCCTATCCTGCCATCACATGCCCCAGATGGCCTATATGGAGCTACAGGATTTAATGTTTACTCTCCTGGGTTTTGGTCTGTTTTCTTCTATTCTCCTGTTCCTCCCTTTCAGAAAAGTAGTCTATGCTGTTGTGCCTTAGTAACATATAGCTTACTTTTTAAATTTTATACAGATTCAGAGCTGAGAGTTTGCCTTGAGTCTCAAAGCACTTTGGACCTGGACTTTGGAACAGTAATGGAATTAATGGGACATTTGGGAAGGAATTAGTGCATTTTTGGAAGCAGAATAACTGCATTATGTTAGTACGATTGTACCTTTGTTATTGTCTTTATTTCAGAGTTAGGGAAATGTGTTTTGATGTCTAGTTGTCATGGAGTGCACTTATAATGGTTAGCCCTACTGACCTAGTTGGCTTGAGATATGTATAAAGTAGGAAGTTAGGAAAGCACATTTCTAGGTGTGTCTGGGAGGGTCATGGGGCATGACTTTTGGGGAATCTATCTGGTCCCTTGTCTCTTCCTTTTTGACTCATTCCTGGTCTCTCTGCTTTGGGCAGCCTTGAGGTGAACAGTTTTTCTCTGTCACGATACTTTGCCATAAAGTTTCAGCCTCTGGGCCAACTGACAATGGACTGAAGTCTCTGAAACTACGAGCTAAGATAAATTATTCTTTTTAAAAAAAAAAACTGTATATGTCAAGTATTATCCCCAGCAGCAGCAAATTAATTTCTCACACTTTGAAGGATACAAAGTCCAAGATAAAGATACCATCTCTTTCAGTGTCTGGGAGGGACACTCTCCCCTATATGTGGCATCTTCTAAGAGTGTACTCATCAGGAGAAGGGGTACTTAACTTTTTTCCTAAGATATTAATTCCATTTGTGAGGGTTCAACCTACCATAACATCACAACTGCCAAAATGCTTGACCTCAAAATGCCATCACATTATAGGTTAGGGATTCAAAATAAGAATTTTGTATGAACACAAAGTTACAGACCATAGTACTGAGCTCCCCCAGGAAGGTCTCTCAGCTTAATCTCCAGGTTAATCTGACTCAGCAAAGAAACTAAATGCATATCACACAAATCTATTCTTTGACAGAGGGGGCTGTGGACACCTCCCTGTTTCAAGTGGCCCACTTTAAAGAGGAGGGGATGCTCCTGGAAAAGCCATCCAGAGTGGAGCCACATTACACAGCCTTGGAAAACCCCAGCTTCTCCCCGATGGGCGTTCTCCTGAGAATGATCCCTGCTGCTCGGCGCTTCATCCCCATCACCACCACTACACTGCTCTACCACCATCTTCATTCTGAGGACGTAACCTTCCACCTCTACCTGATTCCAAGTGACTGCACCATTCGGAAGGTAGCACTCAGAACCAAAATGATCAAGCCAGGGTGGACTGATGGTAAATGTGAAATGTAGATGGGCTCTAAACTGGAACTAAAGGACTCTTACAAATGGCACCCTCCACATGGGTGGATGGGTAATTCTACCCTCTGCTCAACCACAGACAAATACCCCAAATCTTTTCCAGATGTTTTTGCTGTGATACCCCTAATATATAGGCAAGATTTTATAGTCTCTTTCCAGAATTCAAAAGATAGAAATTTAACGGATTAAAGTGCCTGCTTAGGCAGTGATTGAGACTGAGCATGGTGGTGCGCACCTATAATCCCAGCGCTTGGGAGGCTGAAAACAGGAGGATCACTACAAGTCTGATCTACATAGTGAGACCCTGTAGATGTAGACCCTGCACTAAATACATAAAAAGTATAGAAAAGTTTCGTGCACAAATCACACCCATCCTTTACAGAGTGACTCGATTGTCACACTTAACATAGTAGAGGCCAAGCATGGAGCTCTTGTTGTGGCACAGCATGGGGAGAGAAGGATGCAGAGGCTGTGTAACACACACACTGACATGAAGATGACACAAAAGCACCATTTTACCTTACTCAGCCCACATTCTGAAGACCAGACTCTCCCTTAAACATGTTCTGTATGTTCCTCAGGCCATAGATGATGAAGAAAAGAAGTTCAAGTTTGTACAGATACGTAAGCCACCCCCAACGGACCCCCTTTACATAGGTACCCGCTACATCGTGACTGGTTCAAGTAAGCTGGAAATCATCCCAAAGGTAAATAGCCCAGATGTTTGTCTCCTCCTCAAGCTAAGAAGATCTGCTTGGGAAAATCTGTCTGAGGATCCCAGGGCTTTCCCAGGAATGGGTGGATTGGTATGGGCGGGACAGAAAGTGAGAAGGATTTGAGGTGAGTAGGAAAGCTCCAAAAAGTAGAAGAGGAATGCTTCAAAGATTACAGATAAGCAAAGGAGACTATGATTCTTTTTTAATTTTTTTTTTTTTTTTTTTTT